TTAGAGAGAAATCAAACCTGCCGCATACCCTCACTCATTTAGCATGTACCATATACCATATGATTTTGTTAAAGAATATATTATACATTGTATCAAGAGCCCATTAACCCCAGAGCGTACAACGCTGAAATAGGAAAACCATGGTGTCGTTTCAGCAAAATTAATAAAGTTTACCTACCTTATTTTGATACTTCTCTACCGGAATATTATGCAGGAGTCGTAGCTAGCCAATATAAGATCAACCGCTTGTCTCTACGATGTTCCTATGCCGAGATATAAAGCGATAAAAATCGAGTACTTCTAGGTAATCCTAGCGCCATATCACCCAGTAACACGCCTCTCCCGCGTTTAATGACTGCTAATGTTGCTTCGACAAAGCTCATATGTTTCCGTCGTTCATTGATAAATGAGATGAATCATATGGATGAATGAACAAAGCGCAAGGGACTTTGGGTAGACACCTACTGCGCCATTTTCTGTTGTCGTTGTTGATCCACGAACATTGCATGTAAAACTTACCTGTAAACGACGTTGATAATTTCATGAAGTCTATACATTTCTTTCTAGCTCCATTCAATTCGTGCACTTTTTCAACCGAGTCCCATATATATAGCCGAATAAAACCCGTCACTGTGATCCTGCTTCTCTTGTCTTAAACGCGTTGTAATATAATTTACTTGCTCCTGCGATAGTGTTGCTGATTTAACATTCTTTTTCCTTCTACGATCTCTTCTCACATTTCCAGTCGCAGCCATGACTCAAACTACAACGTTTACTACAGCTAGCGTAAGGGGCGGGTCATCACCATGGCGACCCGACTCTTACGCTAGCTGTAGTAAACTGTAGTAATGACGTAACAAGTCAGCGCTCCAAGCGGTGACCGGAAGCAACATTAGCAGTCACTAAACGCGGGAGAGGCGTGTTACTGGGTCATATTGGCGCTAGGATTACCTAGAAGTACTCTATTTTTATCGCTTTATATCTCGGCATAGGAACATCGTAGAGACAAGCGGTTGATCTTATATTGGCTCGCTATGACTCCTGCATAATAGGGTATAGAGAAGTATCAAAATAAAGTAGGTAAACTTTATTAATTTTGCTGAAACGACACCATGGTTTTCCTATTTCAGCGTTGTACTCTCTGGGGTTAATGGGCTCTTGATTGTATGTACTGTACACAAAAACTTGGACATTATTTCTGTATAAATAATACACTTATAATGATCTACTACTTGTGGAAACTATCTAATACCTTCATTAATGGCCTAGAAAGGTTCATTTCCTGGAATGATGATGTGTTATCCAGTGGCGGTGCATCCTCAAAAAACCTTTGCTTTTCCAGCTGTAAGAGAATGGTCTTTCATACATATAGTTCACGTAAGAGGAGCCATAGCACTGACAACCCTTCGGGCTCCTCAAACCGGGAGAAGTAGTACCACATTATAACAAAGTTATGCTGATAAGCTACATGTGCTCTATGTTTGACATTACACCTGCTATCTGCCGGTAGCATGCAATAATTGTAAAGTGTGCCCTTAGAAATTGATACCTCATCCTCCGAATCATATTCTATAGTCTGCTGAGGTTGTTCTTCCACAGGCTGTTTCCCCTTTCTTTGCTTCATTTTTAATGTATCTGAAATACATAAACGTGGAATGGCTGGTTATTGAAATCATCGGCAAATCGTAAACAAGGTTCAGAGTTGCAAACAACTCGCATGACACCGGTGTTAACAAAGTCATGAATCTAGATTATTTACCGTATGTAAACATTCAGCATGAGGCCATTAGCTCTAGGTCTAAAATACAATAACCTACTCACACCTCAATATACAGCATATGTTGAACATGATGCCTGGCTGCACACTATAGATGTGGTTCCACTGAATTAGCTTTTAGGACTTCAGCAAAGAATGTTTACCACCATGTTAGTTGCGACTTAACGATAGCCTCGTCAGATCCTTGTAACTTTCGCTTCGTATCCAAATAAGGTCGCTGTCTCATTTATTTCGCTTAAACGTATAGTAATTAAGCAGGAAAAAATCAAGATGCTACACACCAGGCTTCTCATCTAGCTCCGAATCGGACGACTCTAGCTGATCGCTTTCCTCTGCTTCCTGATTGGACTCTTCATCTTCTCCCGGAGGAACACTATTATTCGTCTGCTCAGCACCCATCTCTTCATTCTCCTTCTCGGACCGAGATTGTTCAGACTTTTGCTGAAAGTGAAATGATAATGCAGCGCTAGTTGGGATGCATAATGCTGTGTCTTAAAATTATTCAGAACTGTGAAAACTTTATTTCACTTTCAAGTATTGCTATTATTAGACTGCAGTAACGAGTGGCCAATTGAACTCGTTGTATAAATCTCGATTATGCTTTCATCACGTATGTTATGTTTTATTTATCGACACTAACCTCCTTCTTTTTCTGTCTTCTGATCTTGGCAATTTTTTCATCCAATGATGTAGCAGAAGCCCTCTGTTTGAACACCTGTCCATATTCCTTCTCTAATAAATCACCAGCAGAACTCTTCTCATTGAATACAAAATCAGTGGAGAAATCTGAATGTTTGTTTTTTCGTTTTTTTGTTTTTCTGTGCGGAAGTACCTGAAAGTATGTACACAGGATCGATGATTAGAAATGGCTAACATACACATAATCTAACCCTTTCCATAAGTTAATCTTAGCTATAATTACTAGCATATTATAGCATGCTAACACAAATTCAAAATAGTTCAACATGGAACATTGTCGTCTAGTAATATACCCAAATGTGAAAATGGCTTTTTGACAGTAACCTACATTACGTACACTCGTTGTATTCGCATGTAGTGCTAAGTCACAAAGAATAAACAAGAATTGCTAAACAAATTTGCCTTACAAAACACACTGAAGTGCATCAGTGATCACAGTCAATGAATTAATACTTGATAATCTTCCAGGCTTCAGCACCAAGCGAATCATTCACAGAAGAATCGCGATGCTACTTTAGTTTGCCCCCCAACCACACTGCACACAGCGACACAATGCCTGCTGCACACTATTTCACATTTTCCCATGCTATTAAACTACAAATCACAATATAGTATTAGTAGAGTGCATCATGATCATGCCACGGCACTCAGTGATAGTGACAGTGTGGCATCACTGCCCATCAGTACAGTCTACAGTACACTGTACAGTCAGTGAGTCACTAGCCGCGTTCGCCGTTCACACAGAGCACTTTGACCCGAGTCGAAAAAGACCCGGGTCAAATGCGTCCCGGGCCAAGCGTTCACACGGACGTTTTCTCACTACGAAAACGACCCGTGTCATTTCGACCCGGGTCATTTTCGCACCCACTCCGCCGTGTGAACGCACCCCGACACACGACCCGGCGCCCGGGTCAGAATTAGTACGGCAGTAGACGTCGCCAGTGTCGAGAGCCAGAGTTTACACAGAGTTGCTGTGCATTGATTGTTCAATTCGCATTGTTCGCTTGGACGCATTGCTTTTTTTTCAACTCGCAGCTCGCATAGCATAGAGAGGCATGTCCTAGAACTGATCAATCAAACGTCGTGTGAACGCTCTCTTCAAAATCGACGCGTGTCGTTTTTGATCCTGGTCAGTCTCGGATCGTTTTCGACCAGGCGTTTTCGCTCCGTGTGAACGCGGCTATTGAGATAGTACCGTAACAGAATAGTGAATACACAGTTCCCGGTCCACATAATATTAATTATGATCAAGATGTTCAACTTCATCATGTCTGTTTTGATTTGAACTATATTATAGTGTGAAAACATCGATTGAATAATGAAATTTCGCACTACAAGCATTATAATAACAAAAATATACCTCATCTTCATTGTCACTGCTCTCCGATGCTAAGGGAACATCAACGTCGTCTGTAATAGTTCCAACAAATCCAAAATCACTCTCCGAACGCATGGCCATGTTGTCGTTGACCGAATAAATCGTATCTCTTATTCTAATACCGAAATACGAGTTAGGGCCGTTAGGGGGCGTACTAAGATCAGAAAGAAAATACAGAGCCGTGCATAAAGATTTTTTTGCGGCTCTGCGAAAAAAGATGAGTATGTGAGTGAATATAATATATAACATCCCCTCTATAAACGGACGCTAACAAGGATAACAAACAATAGATTCAAACTTACATAGGTAGTTGAATGGGTGGAAGGAAGAATGGACGGATAAGTCACGCGAAATGACGGCACACGAGATGTGCGAGAGCCCATTGACGTTATCAGTAGGGAATAACAATTTTTCATTGCTGAAGTTATGTGTTGACGTATGTGGAGCTAGGGGTACGTATGAGGGTATAGGGTCTATGCCTCCCAGGGTACTGCCGGAACGTACCCTGGGTACGGTCCGGTATACCGGAACGTACCCTGGTAACTATCTGATAGGGTTAGGGCAGGCGCGTAGCCAGGGGGGGGGCGGTGGGGGCGGTCGCCCCCCCCAAAACGTCTGGGACGGACTCAAAATATCGCCCAAAATGGCTTAAGTATTTCAAAATTTAGTCTGGGGGGGGGGAGGCCGCAGACCCCCTTAGCACTGGCATGCTACGGCACGCTGCCAAAACGTACGGTTGTCAAATTTGCCATGTGCGTGCATGTTAGTATGCATGTATAAATGTAGTGTACGTGTGTGTGGTGCTGTGTGTGTGTGCGCTGTGTGTGTGCATGTGTGTGGTGTGTGATGTGTCGCTGTGTGTGTGTTGTGGTGTGTGTGGTGTGTGTGCGTGTGTGTGTGTGTGTGTCGTGTGTGTATTGCGTGTGCATGTGTGTTGTGTATATGTGCGCGTGTGGTGCTGTGGCTGTGTGTGGTGTGTGTGTGTCTTGTGCAGGGGCCTGGATCCAGAGGGGGGGTCGAAGGGGGTCCGGACCCCCCCCCTGTTTACCACAAAAAAAAGTAAAAAATCATACACACACACGCACGCGCGCGCGCGGCGCACGCACGCACGCCACGCACACACACAGACACACACACACACACGCCGCATGCACGCACGCACGCACGCACGCACGCAGCACACCACACACACACACACACACGCGGCGCGCGCACACACACACACTTCTCTTATATTGTCTCCATAAAAAAATCTTGTTTAGCGCTAGTTTTCTGATAAAGATTTACTTATATATATGTAAATTCGTTATAAAAACTTAGAAATGGGCAAAGAGGGTCCGCAGGTGTCGCGGGGAGCGGATCTGATAAAATTTTTGCATTCTAGACACTCAAAATTACTGCTCAGATGCTCTCAGAATGCACCAATTTAAAAAAAAAATTATTGTGGGCTTACGTCGTGCTAGTATGTGATGGCTATGCGGATCATCCCCCCCGCACTCCTCGGACGGATTTACCCCTGATTCGCACACTTCACGTGCCATGCATTGCCCGCCCCCCCAAATATAATCCTGGTTACGCGCCTGGTTAGGTTGTAGGCGTAATTAGGAATTAGGGTTAGGAGAGTAGGCGTAGGCGACTCCCTCAGACTCCGTTTAGTAGAGTACTCACTAAAGGCGAGGTACGGGTCGCGATATTAGAATGTACCCGAACTGGGCCAGAGCCATATAAATCACGTTGATTTATATGCTCTTCGGTACAGGCATACGTTCGGCAGCTACCCTGGGAGATCAGACCTATGAGCCATAGTACTGCATGCCATTAGCATGTAGGTGGAATATATATCGTTTCATCATAATTATTAACAGTAATAGTAATGATAAGGTCTTGCGACGCTGGCTGCAGATCAGGGAAGCGTTCAGCGGCGTTAATAATACTGTGCTCAATGCTGGGTGATAGCACGCAGCTTGAATATTATATATAATATATACTATATATATATATATATATAGGCTTCCTGGTATATAATAATAAAATGCTTTATATGCTGTGACTTTCAGGTGGCTACATACGCGGCGCCTGATAATGCGTGTGTGCGGACCGCGATGCGTCGTATTCGCGGCTGGCGCAGTGTCGCGATTGTTTGCATGCACGCATGGACAGAGAGGCCAGCTCGAATTCGCCCTCAACTGATGTCCAATGAATTCACGCGTTAGACCCACGCGTGCTAATCAGCTATGATGAACTAAGTATCTGGATATGCGTGCGGCCCTCCTATGTAACCCGGAACCACCCACCCAGCGTAAATAATGATGAATAGTTCCCCTAATCACCTACCTTGTACCAGGGGCGTGTACAGAGGGAGTCCACGGGGGTCCGGACCCCCCTGTCCGCGCGAGACGAAAACGCATTAAAGGGGTCTATTTTCAAAAAATTCTGGGGGAGGGCCTCAGACCCACTTCGCGTGCTCGCAAGTTTGCCTTACGGTTAGACCCCCCTGGCACAAATCCCTGTACACGCCCCTGTTGTCACCAATGTCACAAGGCCGGAGGTAGTGAAATGTTGGGTATTATTATGGGGTCAGTGGGTGGAAGGACCACTTACAGGAGAATAAGAAGTTCTTTTCTGTTATCACGACATTCAGTATCACGTATGTATGGAATTCTTAACAATCCACTTAATATCAAGTTAATAATCTTGTTAATATCTATATCTTATATCTTATCATCCAATAAAACGGAGGAGGTTTTCACGGTTTACCCGTTTTAAGCAAGCATTATATAATCAAAGTTGACAGAAACGAGAAAACTATACCGGATTATCAATTTTCGAGGTAACTTTGAAAACCCCGTGCTTCATCATTTCCGCGGACAACGAATATTTACAAACAAAATAGACATATATCCATGTTTATACGTAGAGCTCTACATAAGAACGCTGATGCGTGCGGCACGTTTCAGTTTTTCTCGGAAGCACTCCCAACCGGGGGTAGCTATGATAGGCTTTCTATCATTGCGCTTCGGTCATTGGCCTTCTTACATAATTTATACCATGACTGTAATAAAAACATGCGATGTATGCTATTGCTTGCAGGCCCGTAGCCAGGGGGGTCGAAAGGGTTCGAACCACCCCGCCCCCGAGCCGATTTTTTTGTGAAATTTGCAGAAATCACCTCAGGTCGCCCTCCATTTTAGGTAATTAATTGCAAAATCTCATCGTCTGCGAGGGCGTGAACAGTGAGACCCACCTCCCACACCTCCCCCGCCGCTCGGTCGCTTGGCTCCCTCGCCTGGTCGCTTCCGCGCCTCGAGCAGGGGCGTGTACAGGGGGCGTCCAGGGGAGTCCGGACCCCCCTTGCTCGCGCAGAAAACGCATCTTGAGGGGTCTAATTTAAAAAATTTGCTGACCCCCCTTCGCGTGCTCGCAACTTTGGGTTACGGTTAGACCCCCCCCCCCTGGTACAAATCCTGTCACACCCCTGCCGAGCAAATTGCCAACATTGAAAACGAAACCCCCCCGCCCCGCCCAATATAAAGTTGGCTACGGGCCTGGCTTGTTTACTCACATAGTCAGCTAAGGAACCATGAAGGGTATAAGTATTCGGCTTTCCCGATTTTCATACTGGCAAAGCCTCGAATAAATCTTGCATTATTCTTATATTTATTACATCTGTAAATGATTTATTTTTATAATCAACACTACCATAAACAAACAGTCTATGACTATCAATAGTTATATGAGTTATGAGCTTACGCGCTCAAGGGAGAAATCTCATTTGACGGCCCCCTATATATAATATAGCTATCACAGGGGCGGATCTAGGATTTTTGAAAAGGGGGGTGTCCAGGAAGAAATTAAGGGCACTTTTCCTGCTTACTTTTTCTGGTGTTTTAAAAAAGCTGCCGAGGCCACTTAGGGGGGGTTTGCAGGGACCTCCCCAAGATTTTTAAAATAAATTGGTGCATTCTGAGAGCACTGAGCAGTAATTTGATGTCTAGAATGCAAAAATTTATCAGATCCGGTCCCCCGGACGCTCTGCGGACCCCTCTTTGCAGGCCCGTAGCCAGGGGGTTCGGGGGGCTTTCGAAACGAACCCCCCCGAGCCCCCTCCCCAAGCCCAAAATTATTTTTTGAACATTTGCAAAGAATTTCACCTGCAGCGTCGCTGCCATTTTAGTGTAATAATTGCAAAAATCTCCATCACGTGCGGGAGCGGTGAACACGGAACAGCCCCCTCCCACCACCCTCCCCCCCGCTCGCGTCGCTTGGCTCCTTCGCCTGGTCGCTTCGCGCCCGAAGTAGGGACGTGTACAGGGGGGCTCGCAGGAGTCCGGACACCCCCTTGCTCGCGCAGAAAACGCCAATCTGGAGGGGTCGTAATTTAAAAAAATTCTGACCCCCCCTTCGCGTGCTCGCAACTTTGGTTACGGTTGGACCCCCCCCCCCCCCCTGGTACAAATCCTGTACATGCACCTGCCGAGCAAATTGCCAACAATGGCCAACATTGAAAAACGAACCCCCCCAATATAAAGCTGGCTACGGGCCTGCTCTTTGCCTATTTCTAGGTTTTTATAACGAATTTCATCATATAATAAGTAAATCTTTATCAGAAAACTAGCGCTAAACAAGATTTTTTTTATGGAGACAATATAGCAGAAGTGTGTATGTGGGACCTTGTTGTGTGTGTGTGTGTGTGTGTGTGTGTGTGTGTGTGTGTGTGTGTGCGCGTGCGTGTGTGTGTGTGTGTATGCTTTTTTCCCTTTTTTTGTGGTAAAAAGGGGGGCTCCGGACCCCCTCGACCCCCCTCTGGATCCGCCCCTGTATCCACCTTTACATATATATACATTACATTTACATTACATATAATAAACAGTTCCTAATTACAAGGGTCAGGATTCGTGAAGATGATCATAATTTGCATTTACTAAAGTAGGTATTAGGCATGATATACTAAAAATAGTGATGTTTTGGGCATCGCTCTGCGCATGAACTCAATCCGTATGGCATCAATACACGTAAATCCGGCATGCATCTACGGTCGATCGGGGTTGATAACACCCCTGCACGAAATAGACTCGCCCACACAAGCAATATGGCCGCGCTACGAGAAGTGGTAAACGAAACCCCTGTTACTGAGAGTGAGATACAGAATATTGTGGCCGGGCAAGATGATGTTTTTGTGAACGGTGGTGAAGCGGAGGAAAGTAGTATGGATAGCAGCCTGCATCAATCTGGAGAGTTGCTGGACGTACCAGTGAATCTTACACCTCGTCGTGGTAGCGGCTCAATAATGAAAGATGAAAGTAAGCGAAAACCGTCCCACAAAAAGACCGTCAGCTTCAGCAGCATGCCGACTGAACGTAAAATCTCTAAAGGTAGGCGCTTAGTTCGACAAGTTGAATCCATTGTCTTAGTGCTTTAATTAACACCATATTCGTGTGTATTCGTTGATGAGCTACCCGTATCGTTTGAAGTGATCTGAACTAGAAAACTTCAGCAGTGCGCACGAGTAGGGGCCTAAACACAAATCACATCACTCCATCGCGGCGCTAAGAACGAATATGCCGTTCAAACGTTTTGAATATGTTATAGCCTGTTAGTAGCAAAAGCAATTGCATAAACCTGTGGTATTCATCGGTGCTAATACATATTGGCGTAAATCGACTGTATGACTATGGGCTTTCAACGTTACCCACCTAAAACAAGATCAGCGCATGTATTATTGACTATTGAGTATTGTATATATATGTGGTATCACCTTGTACCGTTTATCAAAAACGGTACGTTTGTACCGTTGATACCGTAGGGCCTATATCAAAATGATGCATGTATCACAGAATGACGAATATACGCCACTGTATGGCTTAATCCTATGCTTGGCTGATAATCATTCACCTGCATTTGCCAGTGCAAAGATATTATGTGGCGTGTGGATTTCTGGAACCTAGACACGTTAGGATCGAGGATACTTTGGGAACCCGCAACTGTGTTTTCGCGTGCTAAACTAATATGGGCCATAATGGGGTGCTAAACTAGGCTTGGACAGGCATGTTGTGTTTGAAGTTTTGCATGATAATTTTATGTTACGCATACATAAAAAACCGTCATTCTATGATACATCACTTGTCTACGTCCATTCAAAGGGTGTGTAAAGTGTCTTTCAGACATTTTTCCCAACCGTTTTTTGTAACATGCTTATTGCTAGCAGTAATGCTGTAATATGCAGTGTTCAGTAATTACTGAATCATATCAAGAGCAGATAAAGAAGCTCCTTCTTTATCTGCTCTTGATCATATATATAGAGTTGGCTTACTAGTTGACCCCATAGTGGCTTTTTGCTATCGTTTCACATGGACCATAACACATTACCAAGAGCGTATAAAGAAGGAGAGCGTACAACGGTGAAATGCTGAAACCATGTTGCAGTATTAGTCGAATTAATCAACTTTCCCCGTTTTATTTTGACGATTCTTTGCAGTATTATTGATCAGCTGTCCTACCTTGTTAATATAAAACAAACCAACGGTTTGGTAGGTGCGCTAGTGGCACCCGTTTCGTAGGGTAGTGACAGGTTGCGTAGATAGCGCCCGCGATAGGTAGATAACACAGATACAATAACACGAACACAGTATTATAAAGCTACTCTCCGTATGTTCTATTGTACCACAGAATATTCTCCATACAACATACTACATCGATGACTACACAGATGACAACGCACACACAGAATACCGTATATCAGTAATTTCGTACCGTAGGACGTGGAACGCGACGTAGCTCGGCAGGGGTGAAAGCGGAAAGTGAAAGGTGGAAGTTAACGGTCGAAAAGCGGGGTATAGAAGGAATAGGAAGGAAAGAACGGGAGCGCGGGCAAAAGCTGGACCGTGCTGCCTAGAGGATGAGAGCCGAGTCCCTTCTACCTGCGAGTTTTTGGCGTCAACAAATCCGGTTCACTAATATAGGCAGGTGCATTTCGGCGCGATCACCAATATGCGTCTGTTGTGATTTATGGTGACGCGCCGTACATGCCGTGCTGCGAACTAATATAACCTATACATATAATCTGTGCAGCCGGCGCTTCCCTACACTAGCAGTAGCCCTACGCTAGCACAAATAGTTCCTGGAACAAAAACACTAGATTTGTTTCCTGATTGCATAAGTAATATAGATAACGATATGATAAAAACAAATTTCACAATTTTGTACTGAACAAACATCGAATAATGAATTATAACTTGTTTTATCATAGCAAGGAACTGTTAATGAATCGAGCCGATCACTACGCTGTGTCCCGGATGTGCAAACATCACTGTGGTGCTACTTTCGTAAGAGAAGAAATTTCGTTTAGATTTTGAGAAGAAATATATTCTGAAAGTAGCAATACAAATGAGTTGTAGTGAATTTTTGCAACAAATGCAAGCTCAGAGTAGGTATATATATGCATTTAGCTGCAAGGTTTTGCAACTTTAAGTCGGTTGCGATCTCCTTCGCACAAAGCACATGTGAACAGTTGCTGTACTATTGCAATTTCATCCGAGTTCTGTAGAGCAGCAGCACTTATCTCATTGTTACTGCTACTGCTGCTGTAAACCGACCAGACTCTCCGACTGTTACACGTCGTAGGAGCCTGACACCCTTCCATACGAAATGCCTCGTAGCTTGAAAACAAACTCCGAATTTCGTAAAATTTCGTAAATAAAACAATGTATTACCACATTTGACCTCACCTGTTACATGTTTGCAACTATCACATCACTTCTTAATTACTATTTACCTCAAAATACACATTAAAATAAGAGAATTTCGAACAGCTATACTATTTGAACGTTGTAAAATGCCATACTGGATGTTCTTATGTCTCTTTTTCTATGGGTTGTACTTGTATTTTTCGCTACGTATGATGGGATATCTATGGGAAAATGGCAGCGTTTTTTTAAGTTTTATCTTATCAATTTATAAATAATTACTCGCTGACACGTAAATACATGCTCAGTGATAGCGCACATATAATAAATCGAGGCGTGGAAGTACAGAGAAGCGGTAACAATCATAAAAAGTTAATTTTAAGTTTAATAGTAGCGCATGTCATGCCGAACAATATTCTATTGCGTCGGCTTGTCACCCTCACGCCAACGTAGTGTTAAGCGAGAAGGGAACTTGTGGCTACTGCTGCTGCTGCTGCTATTGTTACTGTAGTAGGCAAAGCTACATAGACATCTACAGTCTGTTACCATTGATGGACACACAGATTGAGGAATGGATAAATGCATGTACACTAGTGCCATTCTGCAAGCTGCATACGAAATTGTCGGATCAATTGAGGATTTTAATTGGTTGACGTACCGGCCGCCAGGCAAATAGTAACGTTGGTGTACTGTGCCAACTGCCTTGACACCTGGAATATTTGCACAGCAAGCTCTCGTGTGGGAGTCATCACCAGTACTCTAGTGACAGGAGCCTGCTTGGGCTTGAATAGTAGCCTCTCCAGTATAGGAAGCATAAATGCAGCAGTCTTGCCTGTAACACAGAGATCAATGTAGTTCATTGTGACGTTTGGACAAAGTCACCTAAATGAGTTGTTTGCATATATACGTATTCTCAGCTCATCCATGTAACCGACACAGAAATATGTGGGAATGACCAATCCATGACAGCCAAGTTCAAAAAATGGTCAGTGGCATAACTGATATAAATAACTGCATATCTAATAAGACATATTAGTAGATAAATGGCTCTATTACAGATTGCAAAAATTTACAAAAACAATCCAACAATGTTCTTAAAAGCCAACTCTTCGTGGAACATGCATCACATCACTTGTAAAATTTGCCACACACGCATGCAGACTGCTGCCAATAAAATTTTGCTTACCTGTACCAGTAGCAGCACACGCACAAATGTCCTTTCCCAGCAATGCCACTGGGATGGTTGCAGCTTGGATTGGAGTAGGCAACACAAAGTTCAGTGCCGATATTGCCTGTCAGCAGAAATGCAGTTAGAGAGAAATCAAACCTGCCGCATACCCTCACTCATTTAGCATGTACCATATACCATATGATTTTGTTAAAGAATATATTATACATTGTATCAAGGGTCATCACCATGGCGATAAATAACAAGACGTTTTTGTGGAGCAATGGCTGCGTCAATGACTGGAAATGCGAGAAAAGATAGTAGAAGGAAAATAAACTTCATTGTCAATGAATGACGGAAACACGCGAGGGTTCCCGAAGCTATCGCCAGAACGAGAGACAGTCTCAGCCACTACGTATCTCGAGCCGGTTTTCGGCGAAAATACCAGATTTTCACCGATCATTATCTCAGCGTAGAGGCATCGTAGGGACAAGCGGTTTGTTTTATATTAGCAAGGTAGGACAGCTGATCAATAAGGCCAAAACAAAATATATGTGTGGTTACCGTTACATGCTAAAAAAAATAGGGTAGGTAGGTAGGGAAAACATTTTATTTTCTTGAAATATTTTATTTACGAACCATGTCCGAAGGATGTGCCTTTTGAAGCAGAAACTGTCCAATTCATATTATTATTTTTATTTTTTTATTTTAAAGAAAATTGACAATTAAATGTTTAGGGTAGCTGGGAATAAATAGGGTCAGTCGGGAAATCGTAACCACGCCTATATTTTGTTTTGGCCTAATACCACAAAGAATCGTCAAAATAAAACGGGAAAAGTTTATTAATTCGACTAATACTGCAGCATGGTTTCAGCATTTTACCGTTGTACGCTCTCCTTCTTAATACGCTCTTGACATTACCTATAACAGGAGTAGATAATAGGGAAGGAGTGTGACTTCAATAAACAAGGGAAATTCGTCATTTACTAGCCTTAATAATACCTACGATTTACTACGCGTAACTCATCCAACTTGAGCTCAAATCGTACACAGTACATTTGCCTAGCATCGTGCGAAATCGTTTCCTCGTATACACCAGCAATCCGGAGATACAGACTAAAACGTACGACACGATTATCCATTCTTTGGCCATCAATCCGAACGTATTCCCCGCCGAACTAGCAAACAAAAGGCAGCTACTAACGCACTGTGGCTCACTCGGCAAGGCGGTGTGGCTTGCTGGGAGATTGGACATCGATGCAACACTCGGCGAGATAACCTTTGACCCGGCATACAGCTAAATACCGACATACCGGTTAGAACGGTTTCCTACGATAGAGTTTGGCACAAAAACGAAAATAGCACGCCGTTTAGCGCACTGCGCTACGTCCTTCTGTTGCATTTTGGCATCTCCGTAATCATAATAAGCCCCGCCTTCTTTGTTGATGGGCATGAATGGGGCGTCAACGACGTGACCCGTTACTGCGTGTAGCTGTTTGGCGAGACTGTTTGCTTTTCGTAA